TCACTGCGCTAAAACCACAAACAAAGGAGTTATAGCTCCGAGAAGTTGTAAAAATATCAAAATCTGAAACTTTAAGGTCCCAGAACTTTTCAGGTATTGATTTGACAGCAACAGTTATTAAGAATTATCGTTAGAACTCTTTGGGGGGCTATCAGAACTCTCGAGAAAATAATAAATTTCCAAAATTTTTTTCCGAAAAATTTAATAAAAAAAATTATTTTTTTCTAATAGAAATTCGGCAATCTGATAGGAGTTCTAGTAGCCCCCCGAAGAGTTCTAACGATTATACTTAACAATCAATGTTCTAAAATCAATATTTAAAAAGATATAGTACTTTGAAGTTACAGATTTTTTTATTTTTCGAAGTCCACAGTCGAAAAATTTTTTTCTCGGAAATTCGATGTTTTCTTGAGAGTTTTGGTAGCCCCCCAAAGAATTCTAACGATAATCCTTAATAACTGTTGCTGTAAAATCAATACCTGAAAAGTTCTGAGACCTTAAAGTTTCAGATTTTGATATTATTACAACTTCTCGGAGCTATAACTCCTTTGTTTGCGGTTTTAGCGCACTTATTATTAAGGATAATCGTTAGAACTCTTTGGGGGGCTACCAGAACTCTCAAGAAAACACCGGATTTCTGAGAAAAAAATTTTTCGTCTGTGGACTTACAATTAGAAGAATTAAAAATTTGTAACTTCAAAGTACTATATCTTTTTGGATATTGATTTTAGAGCATCGGTTAAGGGTAATCGTTAGAACTCTTCGGGGGGCTACTAGAACTCCTATCAGATTACCGAATTTCCATGAAAAAAAAAAATTTCTTTTTACTAAATTTTTCGGAAAAAAATTTTGGAAATTCATTATTTTCTCGAGAGTTCTGATAGCCCCCCGAAGAGTTCTATCGATTGTCCTCTACAGATCAACGTGCTAAAATGAACGGTTTAGAAGTTACAGCTCTTCAAAGTTGCAGAATCGTGAAGTTGGCCCCCCCGTAATTTCAAATGGTGTTTTCGCTGCTTTAATCAATAGAACTCTTCCTAAATTTGATAGAGAACTCTAGAACTCTTTGAGGGGCAAACAAAACTCTGCTTATTTTTTCAAAATTTTGACAATGAGGGGCCAGCTTCACAGACGTAGTATAAGCAATGTGCACTCCATGTATATACGCTTTAATTGTGTGCTTAAAGAATGAATGTGAGAAATCGATAAATTTAGGGTCTACATTTATTGCATCATTCTATCCTTATTTTTTTAAGTGTCTAATTACCAACAAAATACTATTAAAAAATTCCTACAATAAGTTTTTTTTATTGTACAAGAAAAAATACATTGCTCTATATGAAATACTATTTCTTTGTTAAATTATATAAAATTTACAAATAAAATATATTTATCTAATAATCTATATTATAATTGCTTTTTATTTAAACTATTTAAAATATGTAATCTGATTTTTAAAAAATTGAAACATTCTGATTTAATAAAAATATTTTTTGAAAATAACTTTTCATTTAACTTAAGTTAATTAAATCTTACATAATTTTAACATTATGTTAATTTTTTGTTCAACTTTTAACATAACTAAATTAATTTTATAAGTCATAAACTTTAACTAAATTTAGTTTAAAAAAAAAATATTAACTTACACAGGAACCTTGATTCCACGATTTATGGTGAGAACTGGGGATGTTTCTTTATCTTTGACTATGCTAATTCTTTGTCGTTTCGGTCTCGTATTTTTGTTGATATCCGTGATTTGATCATGTATGTCTTCTTGGCTACTTATTAGTTCTTCGACTTCAATATTGTTGTCTGTTAAATCCAGAATTATTCGTTTGGTTTGATGTTTTTCGTCATACAGCTCCATTGGTCCCTCTTATTAAATCGGATAAGTCGTGCTGACTGTCAGCCCATGTTAAAATTTCTATCATTATTTGTCTTAATATTGTTAGGCGAAGAACTTTTTAGTGTACGCGTATTCGAGTATAACATTACTGCAATATTCGAATTTATACAAAGCTCTGTTCTGACGTTTCTAAAAAAATTATATAAAAATTTTTGAAAAACACGACAATTGTATAAAATACAAAAATCATGAAATAAATAAAATAAAATAATAATAATTTTTTATTTTAGTCTATTCCTTAATTTTTCTGCTGCTAAACTATAAGTATTTACATTTATATATGTTGCTAAATTTCCGTAGGATTACAGTGCGCATGTGCAAAAAAGACTCGCTTAACAATACTGATTATTCATGTTGTAATCGAATTCACTTTATAGTAATTACTAAAATAAGATGCGGTCGCATAAAGTCAAGAATACTTCTGTTAAGCTGATCAGAACTATGCGACCTTGAATTTCGTTAAAAAGTTAGCACCCCATTTTTAAAAAATTATTAAAAAATGATTATTAGACACATATGTCATTAAAAATCATAGAGAACTCTTCGTATCGTCAAAAAGAAGCAGGAATTATCATCAGAACTATTGTATCTAAAAATTAATTTTTCAAAAATTTTTAATTTTTTTTTATTATTCGAAAAATTTTTTTTACATATCAGGAACTCTAGGCAATCGCAAATTGAAACTATTAAACCGCTCAGAACTATTCCACCTCGAAATTCGATAAAAAGTTAGAACCCCATTTTGAAAAAATGTAAAAAAAATGTTTATTGAGCAGAACTCTTGTTATTAATTATAGGGAACTCTTCGTCTCGTCAAAAGGAAGTGGAACTCTAATCAAAACTCCTGAGTACTATAGTTGGAGTGCTAACTTAACCAACGCAGCCATTATAAGAGCCCAAACACACACTTTTGCATAACGCATAAAGCATGTGCATAACGAATTTCATTGGCCCATTTTCTTATGCATGAGTCAATGAACCAATCAAATTCTTTATGTATATGGTTTATGCGTTATGCAAAAGTGTGAGTTTGGGCTCTAAATCCGGGGTCAAGCGACTAGTATTAGTGAAACCAGCCCTAAGGTCGGAATCGAACTACGCATTGAAGATTAATATTGAAGATTGAAATTTGGCCAATCAAAATAATAGGAGCTAAAATTCCTCTATCCTCATTAGTTAAATTTCAATTTTCAATATGTACTGTGTAGTCTGATTCCGGCCTAACTAGTCACTCTGCCAACTTGAACTCGCTCAATAATTAGGTCTGTTCTTTATTGCTGAACTTTTGCACCAGTTCATCTTTTTTCCTTTTCCCTTCTCCTGGAGAGAAAAGGAAGAAAGATGAACTAGTGCAAAAATTTAGCAATAAAGAACAGACTTATTAGCTGCGTTGCAGAAAACAGAAAAAGTAGCTTAGCAACTGTTGTAAAATTTTTGAACACGATTTGTTTATACATTTAGATCCAGTGAGGAATTAGGGGCAAGAGCAGTTATATTAAAGAAATTTACAACAGTTATAAAGTTGCTTTCTCTACTGGACACAGCCATTGGTTACTGTGCCAATTTCCGCGCGGTAAACTTTGCTGCATTCTGTGTGTGCAATGATAAATACTGTGAACTGAATTTACTGAATTCGATCACAACACAATTTTCATCCCGCATAATACGTAACTGTACACTTCATTTTTAGAATACCAAACGTTATAATCGCTCGATCGTTATACATTATGGACCTTCTACAATAAGCCATTACTTAAGTTTTAAGTGTTAAATCACAAGAAATTTACCAATCACAATCAAATGTGAAAAGAATAATCGACAGTGAGTGGTCAATTTCTTATGACTTAATACTTAAAACTTAGGCTGGGTCCACAACCTCGCTTTTAAGAGGCCCTAAGCCGTAAAGCCGTAAGAAATTGACCAATCACAGTCGATTATTTTTTTCGTATTCAACTATGATTAGTCAATTTCTTATTAAGTCATAATCTTACCTAGCCTTAGGTAATGGCTTAGAGGCCTTCTACAATTAAGCCATTACCTAAGTTTTAAGTATTAAGTCATAAGAAATTGACCACACAGTTGATTATTTCATCTCACATGTGATTGGTAAATTTCTTATGATTTAACACTTAAAACTTAAGTAATGGCTTATTGTAGAAGGCTCATTATTGTAGAAGGCCTATTTAAACTGATTCTATAATAAATCGGTAGTCTTAAGTCTTATCGGTGAAGTAAGCTAATTAAAGCCAACTTCACCGATAAGAATTAAAAACTATCGACTACCGATTCATTGTAGAATCAGCATTAGGTATTCGTAATAAACATTCGACTTTATGCTCACATTCACGTTTCTGCAACTTACGAAATTAAATCCTTTTTCAGCGATGCAGGTACCTCGGTATACGCCTGACGCGTTATTTCAACAATATATTTATTTGTGCTTCGTATACTTTTCGATAAATTCAATAACAAAGCGGATTTGGCACTCTTGAGATTTCTAACCTTCTTCCGCAACGATTTTAATGCTACCGGTTACGGCGGTTTAGGCGGTTATGGCTCCCGCAGACAGAACGCGGCAACGCTTGCCGCACGGCGGAAGTTGCCTCGATAGCCAATCAGCGTCTCGCCGGCAAGATATTGATTGGTTATCGTGCCAACTTCCGCCGCGCGGCAAGCGTTGCCACGTTCTGTCTGCGGGAGACATTACAGTGTTCAACTTCCCCTCTTGTAGTTCATTTATTGAAATTATACAAGTAGTTTCTTTTTCACTCCTATTGGTCGGAACGTATATTCTTATGGCTCCAGCACACTGGACGCGGAACGCTTGCCGAACCAGCGCCGAAGTTATAACATCGATGTTATGAAACTCAAAACTGGCCAATCATAGTTATTCCTCTGAAGAATGAAAGGACTGTGATTGACCACTTTCATAACATCGATGTTATAACTCGGCGTAAATCGAACCGTGTAAACGTAGTAAGGAGCTGTAAGCTCATTGGCTACAATGGCTACCGCGCGTCACATTTTACCGCGCGGGGCGCGGCAAGCGTTTCCAGGGTGCTGGACTTTAGCCATGTTAACGTTGTTCATAATAACGAGGTTATCACTTATCAGCAGCCAAAATGATAAGAGGTAGTAATAGTAATAGTACGATCGAGACGTTTATTTGACGATTGTACGTATTCTTGTTAAAGGCTAATTGTTGAGTATTTTCATGGTTACATCAGTACTTCTTATGCGACCGAAGCAATCAAGAGTTATTTTTGACGTCGCAGTTTTGAAGATAAAAGGTATGGAAATAGAAAATGTATAACATCCTTCTTTCTCATTAAATCACAATAAAAATAAAAATTTTCTATTGACTGAATGTTAAGTGCCTATGTACCTAAGGTAAATGTCCCAGTGACTGGAAGTTTACTCAAGATTTATTATTATCTTAAATATTTCTTCTTTTATTACAATATTATAATTTATTTGTATATTTAAAGATTATTTTTAAAAATATTTAATGTTAATAATAATATAAATAAATATATGTATATATATATATATATATGTAAAGTTTTATATGAATGTTGGACATATAGATACATGTTTGATTATTGGGACATTTACTTAATATAATTTTCAATATATAATTGGAAGAATTGATTGCACTATCAATTTGTCTTTTATCACGGTTTATTTTATATTTTTTATATTTGTTGCATTCTTCAATTTATTTATCTACAAGATTTGACATTTCAGTATCTTATGGAGAAGTTAATTCACATATAACTTGATAATTTTTTTTCAGAATGGAAGATGTCTTTAACAAATCAAATGTTCGACTGTATAAAAACAAATAATTTGACAAAAGATGAACTGAATCGAATAACTGATGATGTAAGTAAAGCTTTAATTGACCCAAAAGGCAATGAACTTTTTGAAAGCTATCTTTCTCGATTCGAGTTTTCGGATGGCTTGGCAAGTTTGAAGTTGTACAACACCTGTTCAAAGATCCTGAATGAAAAGCAGAATAGTTCGTGAGTCTATCACAATTTGTACTAATATGAATTTAATATTAAGCATTTTATTACAAAATAATAGTTCAAATATTTTTAAATACTCAAGATTAATACTTAAAATAAGTCGCTACATATATTTTTTAAAAATAATTACTTATGTAATAATATTGATTAGGAAACGAATATATGTGTGGATAATTAAAAATATGTTATATATCAACATATATATGGTATGTTTCAAAACATCAAAACTTTATATTAATAATTAAGGAAATTTACAGGAGTCAAGGAAATTTATCGAAAGAATCATTGGAATCACTTATTACTAAAGTAAAAATGATAAAGGATACTATCGAAGAAGAAGATGTAACTGCAATAGATTTTCGTGTTATGGCAGACTTGAACAAAGCCTTGGAAACAGAAAACAAAGAAAAGTTACTCGGCGTATTAGAAAGAGTCAAAGAGGAATGTCAAGACAGTTTACGAGATTTACACCAAAATTTTAGACGTTATATTTTGGAAAAATAATGTTAAAAAGTTTTTTTTAAATACCAACTTAAATATTTCACATTTTTTATATTTTTTTTTACATTTATGCATTATGAAAATTCGTAATGCTTATATTTGTTCCTACATAATTTAGTTTTGCACTTGCAATTTACACTGTACACTCTGCTTATATTATCCCAAAGTACTTAATATAATAATACTCAGATATTATATACCATAAATTTAAATTGTAGAATATTTTTTAAGTTATCAAGTATGTATTATCTGAAACTTTCAAAGCGAATCTCACTGTGAAAAGTGACATCTTACTCTTTAAAGATTGCAAATTGAGTCACTCTTTTTTTCAAGATCGACTTAATTTTCTTTCCTTATAGAGAGTGAGATTCCTTTCCACAGAATTTAGAAAATAAAGTAAGACTAATATATAGTTCCTTATGTAAAAGCGATCGATTCATATATGGTCGGATACTGGATTTTATTTCGATTATCTTCTCGCGTATATATCTCTATATAAGAGACTGATTGGAGAATTGATTGCAGAGTGAGAATTAACCCAATTAGGAAATAATAAATTGAAATATTTTTCTAAATATAATAATATACAGATCTAGTCATTATAGCTGACCCACAGTGTGTACCTAATGTAGTTAAATTAAAATAGATATCTGTATTTAAATATTGCTGAAAATAAAATAAAGTTTAGTGCAGCTTAGTAAGTAACAAAGAATAGACCATGTAAATCAATCGCTTCAAGAATTGCTTTGTAATATTTATTTATTTAATTGTTATGGCAACGAAACAGAGGCTTAATAAAATGATCTTGTCAACAAGAACTATACGTCTTCTCTGCATTGTATGTTTTCTATTGTCAATCAAATCACAATTGACAAATGTTGAATATGAGGTACATAGATAAACCAGAGGAAAAATATATCGCGATAATTAACCGAATCCATGATACCATCTGTAAATTAGAAGAAACTTTAAAATATTCACGGGATTTGGAAGCTATCCGATTTCTGCAATATTCCACGTTGAAGTCTCGCGATAAAATTCTGACGGATGATCTGAAGAAGATTAAAATGCGAAATAAACAGATGTTAAGTAAGCGCAAAATTTGTATTTAATATTGCTTATTTAGCTCATAATCTGTTCGAAAGATCGCTTTGTAGATTTATTTCGACAAAGTGTCACGGATGTTCAACTCGGTTCTCTCGATATATTGCCGGAAACTCTGAGGAGACAAGTACAAAAGACGTGGCATCAGAAGTAATTTCCTCTATCATCATATTATTAACGATTTATATGTTAGCATATTAAATTTCAGATATGACACTCTATTATCTCAGAACGAGCAATTGAAGAGACAAATTATCACTATGGACTACGCAATGAAACAGAAACAGAAAGAAGTACGTTTGATAGGTTTACGATAATTATCACCTATCACATCAGTTATGCTACTTGTACCTAAAGCATCGAGTTGAGCAAAAGAGAGTAAAAGATGGATTTTCTTAAAAAACGGATAATATTCATTTCTACCAATGCAGATTAACTTTAATCTTCGTTTAATTTATCTTTTTCTAATTTTAAGAAAAAAATAAAGTAAATTAAAGATTAATTTGTTAAGATTAAATAATTAATTGAGATTTATATTGATATAAATGTGCATTTAGTATGAAATTTTTAATGAGCTCAATTGATTTGGAGTCATATTATATGTGTAATAAAAGTAACGTAATTACTTTTTCTACATTGAATATTAAGAGATTTTTTAACTTTCATGTTTTTCAAACTATATATATATTTTTTCTTTTTTATAAGTGCGGACACTAGGCGCGCTTTTTTTTTTTAAGAATTTTTATTACAATATCGTGAAAACGAGATATACATACATATATAAAATCTTTTTCACAATATGTATATATACCTAGTTTTAATATTAATACATGCTTCAAATTAATTAAGTTATATCCCCTTGTGTAAAAATTTAATACTAGCAAATAGTGATTATTTATGACTTTTAAATATTAAAAGCATTAACAAATATTACCTTTCAGTATTAAATTGGTTCAAATTTCTGTAAGAATGTTGTTTCAATTAAGTTACGTGTTTAATTTATAATTATAAATTATAAATCATATAACATGCATAATATTGATATAATATTATTGTTTTTGATATTTTTATTACCTGATTTCCAATGAAGTGGTCTGTATATTGTAGATCGATATTTTGCAACAAAGATTATTCATCGCGGGGAGCGTAAATTCGAAGGAAAACACTGAAAAGATTTGTAGAAAATGCTGGATTCTGACAAATAAAACTTAAAAATACAAAACGCTAAATATTTTAGACAGATATTTAAAATAAAAAAAAACTGCTGCAAATTGTTATTTCTAAAGACAGAATAAGACTTTTGAAAAAGTAAAATATATACTATATGTCCATTTGGAAGGATCATTTCAAGTAGAAAACGAATGCGTTTGAAATTGAAGAGAAACACAATAATGCTTGACAGAGAGACAACTATTACGTGAGTAAAAGTAAGATAATTAAGGGATTTAGTAATAATTTGATTGCGAAAGTAGACGAAAGATCTGTGGCTTCCCTATATATGAGTAACACATTTGCCAGTCTCAGCAGTATCCTGGGATCATTCCCAGAAACAAGTGAAATAAGAAGAAACTTCTTGTAAGTCAATTTAAAGATCAATTACTTAAATTGATAGATCGGCTTAAAATTACTCAGTATTATCGTCGCATTTTTATGCAAATTATGACAAATATATCAGTTTGCTGTATACATCGTTGAAAATTATTTTTGTAACTAAAATTTTACTCAGTTGAAGAAATTATAATAAATAGGATTAAATAATTAAATTGGCCAATAAAAAAATTTACTAAAATTAGTATATTTAGAATTAATTAGTCGATAACTTTTTCAGGCAAGAAATGCAACCAAAAGGATCAAACTCGGTTGTTTTGAATGGAATTATGCGTCGGAGATTATGGGAATTGTTAGGAATTGCTTGCATCTTCTTACTTACTCCACTTATCGTGATCACTCTAATCCTTTTATACATGTATCGTCATTTTATTGAAATCGTATTAAAAATCCAGTTAAAAGGCAAGTTCGCCGGTTTCTTGAAAGGTACAGATTGTGTATGGGCCGTTGAAGACACCGTTTGTCTATCCGTTGTCAACATCTTGATGATACTGGAGAAAGCCGCGTGGAACTCAAACGAAATTTTCTTAGAGGATTTCAAGGATCTGATAAATAATCGCATTGTTTCAAAGGCCGTTGGTACGACAATTGAGAAACTGTTCTATCTTCGAAGACAGAAGTTCGGCTATTATTTTTGGGAAAAAAGCGAGAAGGTAGACCTGAAAGACAGAATCAGATGGTTGGAATGTGTGAATGCTGATTGCGACGGGTCCTGCGAAGATATTTCCAGTGAATCCTTCAGGAAGACTTTGGAAAATATATGCAATAAATCGTTACCCGATGATCACAGGGCCGCATGGGAGATTCTCGTCGGAAGACGTTGTCCGAAGTCGAGATCTCATGTCGAAGAAGGCCGTTTGTCTTCCGAAAAGTACTTCGATACCGGTAGCCGGAAAATTCCCATGTTATTTCGCGTTCATCATTCTTTGGGCGATGGAGTAGCTCTTCTGGGTCTGTTACTGAAAACGATCGCCAATGAGGACGAGACTAAAGAGACGAGAGTAAAAATCCAGAATATCGCTTCGTCAGATGAGACTGAAAAACGTTTCAAAGAGATCATTCCAGCATTGCGAAATTCGGAGAGGAATTTTCAGAATGAGATGGATGTTATGCGATTCTATGAGAAGAATATTCTTGCTGCATCTATGCCTTTTACTTACGTAATATTTTCACGACTACTGCAAGATATACGAAACCGTTTTCATGCGTCCATGAAATTTTCTAATAACATAACGATCGAGTTATTGAAACAGCAAATGAAAATATTGATCGATTGTACATGGTTGAGTTTCAAAGATGTACTGGAACAAATGTATAGTGCAATTAAAGAGGTCACGCGGCTAATGATGATTTTACTTTCTTTTCCGAAATTCATCATCCAACAAGCTGGCCGCAGCATGGATGAAAAGTACATTATTCAGTATTTATAATATAGATTTAATGTTTAAATCCATTTTATTAAAAACATAATGGATGAAAAAATTATAATTTCTCTGAATGCTTAATCTTTAAAAAATAAACGTAAGAGGATAAAAGAAATTTAAAGTTTTTAATTTCAAAAATTAGAATTTTTATGAGAGAAACAAATTCTGTAATCTGCAATCGTGTAATATTTTTTCTTTAAGATGGAAACGTAATAAGTGAAAATATTTTATCACACACACACACACACACACACTGAAGATAATGAAAAGATTTTTCACTTTGTGTTTCTGTTTCAGGGAAAAAGTTACACTCTAAATTCTTTAGAATAGAATCTTACTCTAAGGAGTGAAAATCGAGACAGTTATGAAAAAATGATTTTATACATAATTTTCAATTTTTAGGAATGAGATTTCACTCGCTTTAGAGTGACAATTAAAACAATTTTAGAAAGGACATGATCTCTATCTAACTATATGTTTGACACATTCTCCTTTATTATTTTTAATGAATTTTGTTATAATTAAATATAACTTTTTACAGCGCTCTGCATGGTCCACCTCAAACGGGTGTAAAAATAGTGTCCTATTGGTTAGATAATGATATGATAAATGATAAATCACAGAATCTTTTGACGAAAATACGCGAGATAAGAAGAAATACAGGTGCTAAATTTGAAGATGTTGTATTAGCAGCTTTTTCTGTTAGTGTACACAAATATCATTTAAGTGTAAGTATATATGTAAAGTTATCAAGCGATAAATAAGTCTAAAGATATCCAGAAATATGTTCAAATAATATCTAGAAAATCAGATGAATTTTTGGATTATCATATTCCATCAATCTATTTAAAAAATTTTTTTTAATATAAACGTGTATTTATTCCTTACAGATCAAAAAACCAATTCCCGACGCATTAACAGTTATCTTGCCGATAAGAATGTCAATGCCCCATGAAAATTTAATATTAGATAATAAATTTTCGATTGCTCTCTTGCGAATTTGTATCTCCAATGCAAACGGACAGACAATCGTTGAGCCAAGTCGAGATTCTCAATTTTTTAAGCGTCTTCAAAATATTACAAGAACAAATAACGAGCTCAGAAAGAGTTCAGACATCTTGCTTAACTTTTGGTTCATGAAATATCTGTCGGCACTGTTACCGAGGAAAATTTTAAAGGCTTTCCTTTTAAGTCACAGCACGATGGTGTTTAGCAATATGTGTGGACCAGAAAAAGTTCGTATTCTAAATAATTCCTTGAGCAATATTGTCTTCTGGATACCAAACAAGTATTGTATCGTCACATCTTTTTTTAAAATAAATAAAATTATTGCATTAGCAATATATATATCATGATTCGTTTTCAGAAGTACTACTGCTCTCGGCCTTTCTCTATTAAGTTACGGAGGTAACTTACATTTGTCTTTAATAGCTGATAAATCAATTGTAAAAGATGAGAGATCTCTTGATGAGCTTTTAGAAAATACTGTACATGAAATAAATATTGCTTATAACCGTATTATGTTGACACGCTTTTTGAAACCATCAGATCTTCCGATAGAAACACCCGCGGAAAAAGGTATGCAAATTCATTATTTCTACATTCAATTTCTGTATTTTGTTTACACGCACATAACAATAAAATATTCAATAATAATCATGTATATAATTAATTATATTTAGGATAAAAAATTTCGTATATTTACAGATATTGGCGTGTTTTAAAAAAGAAATATAAGCGACTGAAATATATATATATATATAAAAGGATAAGAATATATATATAAATATATATATATATGTAAATATATTCTATCCTTTTTAGAGGTACTTAATATAAATGCATTTGTGCTAAGTATATAAATTGTTTTATTATATTTATTAAGTAATATAGGTTTTTTTACAGAATCATTTACAAAGATTAATACTTTTATCTTTTTCATGAATTTGTTTAAAACTGTATTTTGTAAATAAAGTTTTTTAAATTACAACATTTTGTGTTATACATATAAATATGTATTATATCTGTAGTTATAGAATCCGAAATTATATTTCTATTAATTAATTTAACATTATACCTAATTTTTTTTATATTTATTTAATTTTATAATGTTTAATCTTATGTTTGATGTGTATGAAATACGTATTATGATTCAACAGGATCACGTATTAACGTGATATTCGTATTGTACCAGTCAGTCTTACATATCAGGTACAGTGTGTGCATCTTATCAATATCAATAATGCACGTTAATCTTAACAGTGAGATTATGTGTATTGTTAAAATTTTCTATCAAAATTTATTATTCATTGAATTGATATGTAACGATACAATACATAGCTACGCAATAAATTTGTCTTTTGTTCAAATTAAATGAGTTAACACGCTCGATATTATTTCTCCAAACGCATTCAGCGTGTAAATAATGCGTTTGTCTAAATATAGATCCGAATTCAGGATAAAGATGAATGGTGGTCGCAATTGCTTATTACTGGTTGTGAAATGTTTCCGCCTCTAACAACTGACGTTCTCCAACAATGAAGGCGATGCTAGGTGGATGAAATACGGGAAATAACTGCAGCGAAATTAATGCATATACTGTAGAATGATGCAATAGCATTTATCTTACTTGTTAGCCACAAAAAAATCGTTTTAAATATTGAGAAATAATGTGATAATTGATTAACAATGATATTTTTTTTTATAGTAACTGAAAACTTTTTTTAATATGTGATTTAATTAAGCAAAAGTTATAGTTACTTTTAATGACTTTTTATTACTATACAGATATAATAAGTTCTGTGCATGTTTACAGAGTTTGTGCATAACTATACAATGTATTTACAGTAAACCTTTAAATTACATTTAACTCTTTGGTATGATAATCAAGTGTTCTTGTGAACTGATTACGTACGAGGTGCACGATTTAAATTACACAGCTTATTAAATTACGGACTTTCAAGATTTCTGTTTATCAGTCAGAGTTATTTTAACAATGCGAATTTTTCAAATAAACGTAAATGAACGTGAAAAACTTCGGTATCATCAACAATCTTGTTTCCGTTGCACTAACATCTCGGAAGATGTGACTGCCATCCACTCATTGGTCGTCGACTGGAACCACGTCAAGCCCAAGGAATATCTACCATTGAGATTGGCGTGTTGACAATGACTGAACCACCATCCACCTCGATAGTTGGCCGCGCAGTCGGTAGTGCTGATGTCCATGTCACGATCTTTGGCGCTGAACGCCATGCCGTCTTGATAGGATAGTGCGTCGGTTGCATTGCCCGAATAACCGGATACATGCAACCGGTAACCAGTCTCTTCGGAATCTATTGTGAAATGCTCGTACTCAGCGCGCCAGTGCACGCCGTAGGTGTCAGTCAGATCAATTCGCAGCCTACTGCAGTTGTCGCGGGTGAGCCGATGCATCGCCTCGTTACCGATCCAGAACTCGCTAACTGGTGAACCAAAGCCAACAGAGTACTCATTCCAGGTGCGATCAAAGTCAATCGCGCCGTCAATTCTGCGGGCCACAACGATCCAGCCGGCGCGGCAGGAAGCCAACAGGGGTGCTCCAGGACCAGGTGCCAGCAAAGTCAAGCCGTCGCGTTCCTCGCAATTTCCCGGTAGGGAATCTACCATGAGACGATACTGATCCTCTACTTGTTCTAGCTCGTGCGTGACGTTCACCGCCTTAGCCAAATTCTGAGAAAGGTCCAGTCGGTTTAGAGTCTCATTTAAGGCGTCCAGACTCTTCCGCTGCACATCGCTCTTCTCTTGCAGCTGCGATGCGCTCACGCTCAACGCCTGAACCGCTCGTCGAAGATTGCCAAGTTCTTCCCTGGTCAACGACAGCTCGGCCGCCTTTCGTGCCGCATTTATTTCCAGTCTCGCCAGTTCCCTCTTCACTTCGGAACGATTGGTATAAACGGCTTCTTCGAGTAGACGAACGGAATCGTATAGTCGTACCACTGACTCATCCAATTCGTTCATCGACACCAGATCTCGGCTGGCATTGGATACTCTTTTCGAGAGCTCCACCTGTGCCAGCTCAAGGCTTTTTACTCGTTCCTCAAGATGCTCACGATCTTCGTACACCACCCGCTTCTCCACCATCGCACGTCTCCGCGCTACCACGGAAATTTTCCGCTCAACGTTACGTAGTCGTTCTTCGAGGCGAGCGCGATGAGCCAGAGCACGGGAATAGCTGTGTCTTCGGGCTGACGTAACTTCGTGCGATCCGCTTACTTCGTTGCGAAAGATATCGGCTTTGTTGTGATATTCCGGCTTCTGTGGATCCTGCCGCTGACCAGGAAGCGTGGACTCGCATTTCAGGGACTTCAGCTCGATCTGCACCGTGCTTAACTGCAGTAAATAAAAAGATTTGTTTTGCATTTTGTACAACAACGTAATGCGCTCTCTCTTTCTCTCTTGCTTCTTTCTAACATATCTTTTTATAACTGATATCTTTAAACAAGATATACGGTAATAAACAAGCAAAAAAAAGTTAAAAAAAAAAACAATTAATGAAACTATTAATGATTTCTAATCTTATGATCTTTTCGTCCTACAAAGTAAATTTCTACCGATTCTCTTTAATCCATCGACTTTTTGCAGGCGGTCCTTGATTGCATGGTATGCGTGACTGCACGTGTGTAATACACACGCACTTGTGGAATGCGTGAGAGTAGGGCCACAGCTGTCGACTCGTGTGGCTGCGGTCGCCAGCGTGTGTCAAATACCACAGACGGTAAGGATCACTGATCGAAGCTTCCATTCGGGATGAAAAACGAATTTATAAGCGCGTATAAATGCATGGATTATTTCTCTTGTGTAAAGAAGATTCAATATTATTAGTTTATAATGTTTATATCATCTCATATATTATTTGAAAATATGATATATATAATTTTTAAATTGCTATATAATTAATAATAAATATATAATTAATTATTATACACATAATTTTAATTGAATTATAACAAAATATAATGTTCCATTATATATCTATTTTTCCTCCGTGAACTATTTAAAACATCCAATACTTTGTGAAAAGTTATTATTTATGAAAAGTAATTCAAATAACAAATTTTGTATGAGATAAATTTTAATTTATGAACTTGCATCTCTCTCTCTTTCTATTCGAACCAATGACCCCCATTTAACTCTAATTCTTTACAAATCTTATTCTTAAATTTTATTATATTTGATTTCTTATGACGATTGAGAGTGAAGATAGAAGCGCAAAGGGCGGCAAATATTTAAGAGGAGGGAGGAGGGTAGGCCGATGGACCCGAGGGGCATATGCGTGCGGCTTAAAGGAAAGGCCCGTTGTGCGGGCGAGGCGGGAGGAAGGGAAAAGGAGGAGGAGGAGGAGGTTGAGAAGCAGCTGCCAAGCGGCAAAACGAGAAACAGGAATGAAGCAGCTGGCCGCCCCGTGCAAGGCGCAGGTGCACCGACCATACATCCCTCTTTCTTCTTCCTGCCGTAAATACTAAATGGTAGCGGCAGCCGTTATCTACATGGACGCCCGTTGTCCGCGCGCGAGCAGCCGCATGCCGAGCCCTTCGGCGTGCATACGCATACCACGAAATCGATCTTGAACCATTGTGAGCAAAAAAAAAAATTGGCCGTGGTCACTGAGCGGCACGCGCACGTCTAGGAATTCCGGCAGATCTCGTCAACGACGGTATTGAAGAACATACGTAATATACATGTTTTCATACGTCAGGACATCATTCATTTTTACATTTGATACACATACATGTAAAAGAGGAGAGAATCTGACTCTAGCAACATTTAATTATATCTTAAACATCTGGCGACTAAGCATTGAATTATATAATATATAGTTAAAATAAAATACTCGAAAAAGTAATAAATTTATATTTGATATAAATTTTATTTTCATAAAGAACAACTGAGAAATAAAACGATTAAAATGTTGCTTCAAAATAAAGTATATTCTTTGTAATAAGTAAATCTCTCTCTCTCTCTCTCTCCTCTCATTTCACACCTGGTTTGGTTCAACTGCATTACAAATTGGTACCACCTGCCTATCATTTTCTGTTTTTTTTTTCTCTGATATCATCCTTATTTCCTAACATCTGCGAGAAGAGAACAATTTACCTGACTACTGACATCCGCGCAAGAGCGGGATAGGAGACTGGCGCGTTCCTTGGTCGCGGCGATGTCGAGCCTGATGGTACCAAGGGTGGCCTCGATCTTGGTGATCCTTCCACCAAGATCGCGGATACTCCTACCGACCTCGGCGACGTCGCCCTTCAACAGGGCTAGCTCGCTCCTCATCCTTGAACGTTCGGCAAGCTCCTCGCTGGCGTTCTGAGTCCTGAGCACCTCCGCGACCTCGCTCTGCAGTTCCGTCACGGCACTGCCTAGCCATCGCACCCTCAATCGCTCGTTCTTCGCCTCGTTGCCGCTTCCGCCGCGAAGAGCGTTCACTTCCTTCCTGCACGTGCGAGGGGATACGATTATAATACGTTTTCGTGGCGACCGCTCATTTTAAAATGAATATATTTTTTTCGTTTACATGTATATAAAAGTAACAGAGGAACAGCTAAGACCTTCGCATTTTTAAAATGTGGGTGAAACTAAAGTACTCGTAAATCTTTTATCATCAAAATAACTTTGTACGTCTATTAAATTATATTATTATTATTGTATCAAAACATTACTGTGTTTATTTAAATTCAGATGAATCTTACTATTAAATTTTGATTATTTTTATATAGAGAAATACAAAAACTGTACTGTGTTGAAGCCTTTGTAAAAAAAAATACTGACCCGATAGAAACTTTAGACTTCAATTAACTTATAGGACTTCTCGTACAGACATAATTGTACACTTGACGAGTTCGAGTATATGTGTATCGTATTACAATACGCCGCATGTAAAAAGAGACGAGGCAAATTGTGTTTTACCTCAGTTGTTTCACTTCGTTCCTAAGGACGATGAGTTCGGTGTTCTTCTCCATTGCCTGTTTCAGACTCTCCTCCAAAGCATTGTAATCCTCCTGTCGATGATCCAACAATGCGCTCACTTGCTCTTGCAGTAGCTTGACTGTAATATTGAGATCCTCATCTGCGCGCATGCCGGCAATCACCGTATTCGCAACGATAATCACTGATAACAGCAATGATAGATTTGCCATTTCCGCCGATCTCTTGAATATCTTCAGTCAAGAATTCGGATTTGTATACTTCTCAATTTCATATATATTTCCCCTCGGGGAAATATATTTTTTATTTTATAAATTCTCGCGAGAGTGTATATTTATTTTACACAGATCCTCAGAGATTTTTATGCTCTAACAGATCCTTTTTACTTTCGGGTTTAATCTCTTTTAAATTCTCGCATTTTCAAATTCTTGAAAAATCTCGCCGAGATCTCAATTTTGAATTTCCTCAATAAGAATTCTTTACGAACACCCTATTATTTAGCACAATTGGTAAACGGATTTACGCGATTTATCCGATTTATCTCGATAGCGAGATTGTTCAGTCAAGTCGCGAAGTCACGTGCAAAGCGAGGATTGTCGCAATGTGTTTGACCGCCTCTCGAAAGCCTACTGGCGCGGCCGAAACGGTGTACGAGTTTTATATCGGTCCTTGGACAAAGGTCCGCTCGGACCCGGTGTGGAGCAGGTGTTCGGCAACACCAGGCCCTCGTCAGGTATATATTGTCTCGCGCGCCGCCATCCGTATCCCCACATGCCTGTTATGCGGTCCCTACCCACTCATATTCCAAGATGAGCATAAGATCGTAATAGATACGTCGTATATGAGATCGTGATATGATAAATGCGCGAGTACAGGGTGCTGGATAATAAGCGCGTGTGGCGAACGGGGCGAGATTTTCGGCTAAAAGTTTTGTTTTCCCAACAAAATTTGATCTGAGTTGAAACATAAATATCTTTCTATAAATTTTTTTTAACTTCATTTTTATTTAGTATTTTAGTAAATATCTCCTAATGAAGATCTTGTAAAATTGAAATCTATCTAAAAAGATTAGATGGATTTCTGATTTGCTTGCGATTTGCAGAATATTTGCGCAAATCGTAGGAATGTTATACATATAGATGTATTACGAGTGTTTTTAAAAGGACTTTTGTTGTGTCACCTGAAAAAATAAGAAAAGCAAACGACCAATTCGGCACATCAGGTAAAATTAATAATTTATTGAAAACAAGTGTCCAACCTGTTGGAATCTACCGTCTATATTTACGGATATGGTAACGCGTTAGTGGATTATTTAATTGGGGTGATGGAAGTACGGCTACGTGTTTATGTGTTTGGATTCGTTTGTATGACAAAATGTTGGATATAATACGGAAATTCCCACGCGCGCACAGACGCGGGTGAAAATAACGTTCTCCGTTAAATACAACGTCATTCATTCCCGAATAATATTTATATACGATCTCACGACATTTCTTCGAAATCGATGCTAAAGATGCTAACATTACCGGGTAATTCATGAGTAATAATATGGCAGAAAATGGCACCGAGCTAATAATTGATTCAATGAATACGATAGATTCAGATAGAATTAGATATAACAGAGAATTTTTGCAATACCGTGTTTTGAATAGGTAAACGCTAAAAATCACGTGCAATGCTGCAACGGATATAGTTGATAATTTGTGATTTATTTGCAGGTTTTGCGAAATGTACCTAGTAAACAATATCTGCAGAATGTTAGCGGATTGATAATAAATTCCTTCAGAAAAATTCATTGGATTCGGTACTCTCTGTGTTCTACTGCTGGAAGATCTTGTCGACATAACTTGATAGCAGATTAATAGTAGAAATCAAGCAAAATCTGTTGAACGTAGATTCTCGATTTCTGTTACAAATTATAATCTAATTTACTATTATCAATCTGTTATCAAAGTTATGTAAATATTAAGTAAAGTTTGTAAAATATTTTTATATATAATCTGCTTATTTTTATATATCTGCTTATTTTTAACATTGCCTTTGACATTTTCCTTTGACGACAAATTCAATAGCGTGATATATTATGGATATTAATCTTCCTAAAAGATCTGTACAAATGATGATCCACAAAAAATACGAGAGACGCAAAGAAGTTTACATCATATATAAATTCCGCTCGATTTTTGCTATCATTCTGCATCAAACTATGAATAAATCTGCTTGGTTCCTGCCACCAATCTGTTATGAAATAATGTAAACAAATTCTGTTATATTCTTTGTGACATTCTATCAGCAACATCTGATATAACAGATTCTGCATTAAATTTGTAATCTTGTAGTAGGTCTATTCTATAACCTTCAACGAAAGTTCGTTGTACTGTTACATAACTTTTTTACCATGTAAAATACCTGCGCAACGACATCTTTAGCTAGTAAAATTATCGTTAAAAAGTTACAGAATAGACCTACCGCTGACAAAATTTATCAGTAGATATTTTTTGTCAACAGTAAAATCTATTCGAACAGACTTGACTGACTGTATTTTATCAAATTCGTGAGTTTAGCGTTTACAGTATTCAAAACATATTTATGATATTGCAAAAACTCGCCAACAATCACGGGTTGTAAAGGGTGAATTGGATTAAAAATTATAAATCTGCGCCATATAAACGGCATGTAGATAAAAAAAACAATAGAAACTACAAGAATGGAAGCAGCAAGGAAATTTTCTTTTAATCCGATTCACCCTGCATTTTCGGCCAGCCCCATTATAATATACATTATGTAAATAATTTACCGCTTATATTTTGTAGAACCAAACTTACGCTAATTCATGTTGATTCTACATTGCAAATCTAGGCAATAAATGCACTTAAATTCTGCTTTCGGGATGATAAGGGGCGTAGCTACAGCTCTTAAGTTCGAAAATAAAATATATGAATTTCTATACACACAACAATTAGTTGAATTTCAGAACGCATAAACAAAAAAGTAATCTCAACGAAAAAAAAAAGTAAAAAGCGAATGCAGAAGCTCTTTCTTTTTATTATCATATTGCTACGTCCCTGGTTGGGGCATTTCGTATGCCTAACACGTGCCAGTCGCGTGTCTCCAATAAATTCTCTAAAGAATTACGTCACTTAGACACGATTGCACCAACATTACTTGATTTTAAACGAGATTTAAAACTTTATCCATCTCATATTAAAGCTAAAAGAGAGACAGAGACAATTTAAGTCTCGCTTAAAATCGAAATTACTTTAGTACAATCGGGCCTTAAACGCATCTTCAGAATCTGCTACTCTGTAACAAGTACTATACTTAGCACATACTACGGAAGTTAATCCGATTACACAGCCAGAAAGTCAAACTTAATTTTGTGCAATGTGCGTACGTAACGCTAATTGGATTCCTCCTTAAGACTGGGCAGATCCGTACGTGCCGGTCGGTGGTCGATAAAATTTAGGCAGCGTCAGAATCTGCAAGCTGTTGAACGCGTACTTGCGCACACCAATATTCTTCCACGTGTTCTCTCGGCGACAGCCCTCACTAAAATAAAAAGAAGCAATGCATTCATCAGGTAATTCGAAATTTAGAAGACAATCCCAATTTCCAAAACATAAAAAATATTTAAATATAATTTTTTTAAAGACAGATATAATATTCAGAATTATTTAGAACACAACAAATTATTTAATATATTATACAAGAGTAGAAAAATAATTTTAAAAAATGTAATTATGTGTGTATAATAATTAATTTGACTCCGTTCAAATTTTTTTTTCTCTTCCTTTTGCACTTACCTTCGCATACAGTCGAGAGCCCTCATGTATTCATGTTCAGCCAGGTGATACTCTGACGATAATATATTGACTTGTTCAAGAGTGATAGACATACTGGTTCGATCTTTCGCGCTTTTGCAGCTGGTGAATCTCAAACCACGCATTCTTCGACATATTTGCGAGGACAATTGCAAGATTTCTACATTCTTATTGACTCTTTCTTGCACACACGTCTTTAAATTCGTCATCATGTCCGACAATGTATGGCCTAGAATTGACCTAGTGGCAACTGAAATAAAAAATATATCAATTTTAGAATCTCTATTAATAAAAAAATATGTAAACAAAAATCTAAAAGGCGTTCAAAGAAAATATGTTATATATAATAAGTCCCAAACTTTTTATTAAACAATATTTTTTATATTTTTATCTCTTTTTACAATAATTTTAATTAGTTCTATACTCACAACGCGTAGATGCAGGTTCTGTCGGTAGATTCAGTTTTTTAAATCTTAAATAATATTCGTTCAATCTATCAAAGTTGTCCATATTGCTCTTCTCCTGTGGCTTCGTGGTGCCAAGGCTCTCGGCTAAGGACGCCATTTCGTTGATACCGACATTGAAAAACACGGGCGTTACATTAAACGACAACGTTTGTCTTGAGGAGGGCACTAATGGCAAGAGAGAGTAAATCGCGTCTGGAACCGGGAGTATCACCGTTAGGGCACTTCGTGAGCCTACTACGCGCGGCACAGGAAGCTGGAATGCGTTAGACTTTCCTTCAACTCTGTAAGAATAGCATTGACGCGTTTAGATTTCTTTTTAATACTTAAACACTTCACTATGGGAACAACGCACTTGGTGTATGGCAGACCCAATTTGATAGTTTATAATTTTCATAAAATTAACATGCAGTTACTAAATTTCGGTTTAAATATCCCTGATTTCAACAATTTTGTTACACCCGACACTTCCAAGTACATTTCAGGATATCTAATTGAAGAACGACATCAGAAATGACGATTACGCTTCCATAGCATATTGAATAAACAAGGCGCCCAACACCCCGGCAAAGACGACATTACAGAAGAGAATTTCGTAATATTTTCGGAGTGAAAACTATTCTGAGCAGAAATCGGGAATATTCAGCGAAACGATAACGAAAAAAAAACTATAACGATAAAAAGGAAGATTTCAAAAAGATTTATTCAATTTTTGTACAGACTTACAAATAAGTCTCTATATTAACAAATCGACTGCGATGCATTTTATATTCAGCCATCTAATCGGATTATAATCGAAATAGATGAAACATTATGATTAAACAATGGTAAAGCATCGGAAAAAAGCCGGGATATGTATATACCGAAAAAGCATTTAAGAGTTAATATAATTCACAATCAAGAAATGGGATAAATAAAACTTCTGTCTACCTCGGTTGAATGCCACATCTGGACAGAGTGAATGTGACAGTATGCGTATCTTCGACCGCTACGGCCATGTCGCCCCACATGTCTATTTCGTCTCCGTAATAGCTAAGAAGGCCTTCAAAAGAGACCAATGGTCCCAAAGTTGTAAGTATTAGCAGAAACATCGGGTCGGGCCGTTGACACCATAATTTCGCCATTATGCCGGTTACTAAGGCAGTCAGCTAAAATTTTAAGAGATTATTTCCAAATGTTCTTACATATCTTTCTTATCAAATTAAATAATAAGATAATAAGCTCACCGCTTGACTGAAGCAAACGTCTCGTCTATACCGGACGTTGCATGCGCGTTGCGCCGTTTTTGAATCCTCCTGTACGCGAAATACAGAATGTGTCAGTCTGGCAGTTTTCAACAGACCGTCCATAGCTTGCCGTAGCTTCTTCATGCTCGGCCTGAGCTCGCTCGTCCAATCGACAATCGACGCGAAGTCTAGGCCCTCGGTAAACTTGTTCCTCTGTCCCGAATTACTTTTGATCACACGTGTCATCGAATCGACTGCTTGGCACACTTCATTGGAAGATGAGTTACAATAAGTATCGGTTATCCCTAATAATACATTATGTTGCAAGCTTTTACTACGTTTTACTACGTTTTTACATAAAAAAAAAAAACATTACATAAGAAGAGACTTTCTTACCTTCCTTTGCCTTTGAAAGCGCTGATTTCTCTAATCCTGGGCTGGACTGCTGCAACTCATTTGATTCCTCGAGCAATTTGTTCGATTCCTCGCACTTGATACCGTTCTTTGGCTGAATGGTAACGACTTCAACATTATGCCGATTGCTTGGCAAGCAGCCCTTCAAACTCTGCGACCTACCCAGACTACCTTTGTTACGTAATCGTACGGCTGGACTGCTGCATCTGCCACAGAGAAACTTCACCTTAGACACGAGGCACATGACGCTCGCCTCGATATTCAACTGAGTGAGATCCCATGGCTCCGGCTCGTCCGTGGGTTTGTAATAATTTGCGGATGGCGAATTGCACATTTTCTGAGTATCCAAGAAACGCTTGCACGGATCGGTATCGTTCTTCAAATCTTCCTTCTCATCATCGTAACCCTCTTTTTTTTCGTTGTCGTGATTTCGCTGATTACTCTCGTCGATTTCCGCTTCTGCCTGTTTAGGATAATCGTCCACATCCGGAAATATTACAAAATTCTCTTCCGCAATGTCGCCCTCACCGGTGTTACTGTTTAGCACCTCATTTCTCGAATACGCTATGGAAGTGTACTCGCCATTTCTGATGCCGTTCTTCGACCAAATATCTGGCACACATTCGGGAGTGTCGGGTGTAACGAAATCGTCGAAATCAGGACTCTTTAAGTCGAAATTAAGTTGCTGCGTGATTCGTTTAAAGGGTGACAAGGATTGATTAATTTTAAAATCCAGCGTCAAAGTATCGTCCGAAGACGTGGTCGAATTCTCCTGGACTTTCGCGACTTTATACTCTTCCAAAAACGTTAAAGCCTCCTCTACTAAGCCAGGATCCCAAAGACTAAGTAAGATTCTAGTTTTTGTGATCATATCCTCGCATATCGGCAACATGCCACTCGTCTGCTTCTCCTTGGCAAGTTTCATCAAAGATCTCATTGCTTCTACAACGTCCCGGCGTAATTGTTTAATCGCTTGAATCGCATCATGCGCCATCGTAATTTTCGATGTTCCTTGATACAGCTGATTACTTCGCATAGGCGACTCCTTTAGTGCCTGCACCAATCTGCAGACAAAAACCAATATAACTAAAAATTGAAATTGTATTTTATTATATACTTTGACGATCATTTGGAAAGAAAGGATATACCTTATGAGTCCGCCGTTTTTGCTTTTATGGGAATGGGCTGTAAACGCTCCTACACTGATAAAATCATAAAATCCGCACTTATTCAATGTATCGTTGTGGACCCACATTCGTTGAAGATGTAAATTCAAAGGCGCAAATTCAAGAGTACGGTCATTCTTACGTGAGGACTGTTTAAAATAACTTCCTAAAATTCAAATCACCAAACATTAGAACATTAAATTTTTAGAGCTAAAGTTTATTTTTCCTTTCACGGACATATTGGACAATTTATTACGAAATAAACATGGATTCACCTTTGTAGGCGGCTAAGTTTTCTTTGGCTTGGGAATACAAATGTAACAAGTGAAGATGACGATCGAGTAATTCGATTTGCTTCGTATGCCACGGCTCTCTCAACTCTCCCATTCCAGCTACCTCTTGTAATAATTCCTTTTCTTCCTGTATCCAAATAGCTCTGCAATTTAACGCTACGTTATTTCACTATGGCTTCATGATTTTACTATTTATAACATCAGATAAAATACGCTCACAATAAATGTTGTGGAAATTGGAAACAGAGTTTACTCTCCGCCATAATCTCATGTACGCATATATCACCCCCTAATCCGGAGTGAAATCTACAATAACCAGATTAAATGAGGGCTATAAAATGCATCACAATAACGTTGATTCATTAGTATAGAAATTTACCTGTAAGTTTGCACAAATGGATTCGCAAAAAGGAGTTTTAATTGGCCTTGATGTGGAAATTTAATTTTTGTCCCTAATCTCGGAGGTAACGATTGTGAGCGTCTGTGCGAGGGTAGCTAAAAAATATATATTAATAAAAATGAAATACTTATATAAACGAAATAATGACAAATCTGTTTAGAAATTGATCAAATTAACGTATTACCTGTTGTTGATTATTACTATTGTATACTGCATTTCGCGATGGTGTACTTTCTGTGCTATTTCCTTTATCTTCTGCTTCCAGATTCCACACATTAATTGTTAAAAATCCAACTGTCGTTGTTTTCGCTGATTTTAATGGTATCCTTAATCTAAAAAAAATAAAAAAATATAAAAGCAGTTGAAACAATACAATTAATTAAATTAAATAATTTTGATACATATTATAGTTAATAAAAAATAGTTATATTTTCTTAAATATATGAAATTTTAATTAAAAACGTATGCGCAATTAAATAAAAAATTTTTAAGTTTTATATTCCAATGCAGGATTTTCGAATTTATTAAATTAGAATTACCTAGGAGTGTCTTGTACTGTACTGAATGTCACTACAGCACTTCCTATTGGAGTTGCAGTCTGACTGACTCTTTCTCTAACGTCGTACGCGGTTATCATAATTTTCGTTTCAGTGGTTAACCCATCACTAGCTCGAAAGCTTACCGTAGTTAAGAAATTCGGATTACTACTTCGCTGGAACAGATCACAAAGAAACTCTTATAGAATTACAACTTGAAGGGAAGACAGTTTTTGAGAATTTTTCATAGTTACCTCTACAACTTCAGTTCGTGCGTACTTAATCCAAGTTTTAGAAGATTTAGACTGTACATCTATTTCTAAAACGGGAGTAGGTGGTCGGCCGTGTCCATCACACAATAGATTGTCGCAAGCTAACGATATCTCGCACATTGGTACTTCCGCCGGATCTAGAAAAAAAAAAACAAATTCAGAACAAATCCATTCAATTTTACTACTATATATATACCTGTAGTTGTAATAAAATACTTCATCAGCTTTAAGCGAATAGCAAAATTCTTTTGTAAATTTTGTGAAAAATATTGCAATGATATTTTATTAATAAAAATTCAACAAAAATATCTTCGCAATCCTGCATCAATTAACTCCACAAATTCAATATTAAATTTGTCAATAAATTTTAAATTTAATTTTTGTTAATTTTGTTAGATATTAGTCTAAGATTAAAGAAAGCTTACAATAATTAACGTACTAAAGAACATGCTAACGTGTGAATAAAATTGTGCGTTCTCCAGACAATGAAAATTTCTAATTTCGAAACCATTAAAGCGTTCACACCTGTGAAGGTCCCGCGCTGCAGCCGCAACATCTGTATGTCGGTGTCGTGTTTGTGTCCGCTGAAGGCCTCGATGCGCTGTCGCAACGATAACAACTGGTTCCGCATGCACTCGTAGCTGGCCAGCTGCAGCGCCTGCAACCAACTGTCTCGTTCCTCGGCCGTGTTCGCGCCTAACTGTTGAAACAAGCCTCCGTCGAAAACTGCAACATTTTTCCCTTTCTGTGCTTTTCAACGTCGCTTCGCATGCTACGTGGAAGCGGGACAGCCATGCACGTATGTAGATGACGACAAATGTGTGTCATCAATGCATACCGTTAAAGCATCAAGGAAGAAAGAGAGAAAACAGGAAAATACAGAAGCTACGAATGATGATACTTGCCTATGCTGAATCCGTAAGGAACGTGATTGCTGGACGGATCTACACGAACCGTACACTGCTCCAGTATTATCACTCCTAACGGCTCCGACCACTGTTCCCGCGATTTGAAATAGAACAGAAGGTTGCCTCGCAGTCTGCACCATCGTTCGAGACTTACTGCACAAGAGAAGCAGAGTAGCAGCGGCTTAAGCGCGATTGCTCATACATTCGGATATTTTCATTAAAGAGGGGATTTCTATGAGTGATAACAAGCGACAGAAGAGACAGAGATAGAGAAAGAGGAGGACAATATCTTTCGCATCCGTTTAGTTCATTATATAGCCTGATGATTAATAATAATCACACTTTTCGAAAGAGCTTATCAATCGCATTAAAACAGTCATTAATGATAATAAATGTGCAAATAAGGCTCTTCAATTAAAGATCTGTAAAAGATCTATTAGCAACTGGACTTCAATTTACTGCGTCTGTGAATATTGATTATATCATATATAATGACTGTTAATAAAGAACATAACCAAGTGTCCTCCGATTTTAACAAGCTATAAATATATTATATTAAGACAAAAATGAGAGACACGTATTTTGATTTTTTTTTTAGTGAAAATCGTTTAAACAATCAAAAACAAAAAATATTTTAAATAAAAATTAAACGATTTCAAGAATACTTTATAATAATAATTTAAAAAATTATAGTAATAAAAAATTATAATAAGTGATTTACAAAGTTTTATTTGTAAAAAAATAAAAATTTAAAAAACTGTTTAGCTTTTTAACACATGCACGTATAAGAAATAAAAAATAAAAAAGGGCTTATAAAAAAATATGTATTTCTTATTTTTATCTATATTTTTACATACTTAAAGTTCTTATAAAAATTGAAAAAGAACACTTGATTATTCTCAGATAATACTCTTTTGTAAGATCATTTTTCTTTCTTGTAGTTTGTATTGAATATTATCCTTCCGAGAATACGCGACTTTTCTCATGAGACCGATTGCCCTTATCGTTCCATCATATTACGTTGCTATGTCCTTGATCTCTCCCATTTTTATCCTAAAATCAATGCAAGTGATGCACTCTTAAAAAAAAAACTACAGGTATTTACAAATACAAGCACCCAAACAAAGTTCTTATAATACATGCTGTAAAGATATAAATGTAAAGTATACATACTCGTATATATATATATATATATATATATATATAGGTATTAAAAAAATGTTCCCTACTTATTCTCTTTAAAGTTAAAGCGTGTCTCGTGAACACTTGCGGATTAAATCAAAATCTCATTTTTCCTCATTCTTACAGAGTTTCTATCGGAACATGCACGCAACATGTGAAGCATTCCATTTTACATGCAGTTCTCGATTTATCACCGCAAGTGATTTTCGTAATTTATCAAGTAAATTTTCCATTTGATTAACTTTTTTAATAAAAGATAAGGCTACAATTTATATAATACTGATATTAATTACTGATAACTTTAAATACTGTAAACCAAAAGTAAGCTAAGTTACAAAATATCTATGAGGATTTGTTAATATTGAGAATTTTTGCTTTTATTCTGATGATTCGAGACTCAAAGGCTTAGTAATAAATTTACTGCATGCAAATATTACATATTAAGTAGCAAAAAATTAGTAATTTTAGCGTAAAAATTGGATCCGGCATATTAAATGCAAAAGAACAGAGATGTTAAAGTTTCAAGCTGAAAATTTGGATATTTTGTTAATTTATTTTAGATTATCTAGTTTTCCTTATCCACACAGTCTGTATTTCAATATGCAATAAATAAATTGTTAGATTGATCTCACTGAAGCGTGCGTCGACTCTTGCAAGTGTTTTTTTTAAGTGTCTTGTAAGTGTCGAAAGAAATGCGTTCACACGCATTAATCAAGATTAGTCGGGCCGTCAAAGAGCGTGTTAATCGCGTTAAAAATTGTGATGTAGGAGCGTGAGATAGATTCCAATAAGTATGTATCATATTATAGTAAAATGCACTCGGGCAAATGTACCTTTGCTCAAGCCGGCAGTAACGCAATTGAGATCTCGTAGACTCTTATGCGACCTTCCTTTTTGATTTTTGTTCTCAGATTTTTTACCTGTACCTGAAAATTGCACGAGATTGCTGACAGCCGCCACAACGACATCTTAATAAAGTAAAAGGGCAAGGAGAAAGAGCAGCGAGCGAGTTAATTTAACTGTTACGATTATATGTCAGGTCGTATCGATTTATAACAAATCGGATGGGAATGAAATGTAGGTCTCTGCGAATCTTTTTGTTATCAGTTTATTAATATCTCGTTAATGAATGATTATTTTTATCATCGGTAATTCATAGAGAGAAGGAAGAGATTTTATTTTTAAATAACTTATTCGATTCAATTTTTCAACAGATTTTTATTCTGTTATTACATTTCTACCTCGTAATAGTGAGACATCGTAATTTTTTACTCTGATACCTTAATATGTATTTAATTAGAGTGGATAAACTCTAAATAATGTAGGATAAGGTAAATAATTTCAAACATGGTATAATTCGGAATGAAATTAAAAGTCTATTCTTTATCGAAAAACACTTTAAACTACACGGTGTAATAAGTTGAAATAAAATAAATAACTACAATATAAATATTTGTTTTTTTTTATTCCAACTTATTGTGCACTGGAATACACTTTATAAAAAATAAATCTATAAGATTTTAATCCAATTTTTGAGGTTTCACAAATTTGAGGGGTATTCTTGTTACATTTTAATAACTCTACACAATGAGATCAGAGTTATCGAAGTGTTTAAATCTCGAAAAACTTCAAATTTTATTTTCTATCAAATTGTATCATGTTCGAAATTGTACTCACTTTATAGTTTTAAATTAATCGAATAGATTTGGTTCTATTCTTGATACCTTCGCGAAGTTTCTAATGCTGACGTCATTCAATGTATGACAAAACAAATAGTCTGCTTCGTGCAAAGCCATGCCGTAATACGAAAGAACAGAGAAATGGGCTAAATTATCAGTCTCTCCGTTGATGTCATGGGGCATCGAATAAGTCAAATGGAACAATTCATGGGAGCCGATAAAATCTCTTTCGTGCAACATATTCTATCATGACATAACATTTAATAAATCACTAACAATAAGAGTATATATGAGTCTAAATATATCAAACAGTTCCAATCAATAAATATAAAGACTTTGAAAACGATATCAACGAATCATATCTCTTTTATTACTAAAACAAAACTAGAACCTAATGCCACTTTTATATTTGTAAGGCTAATATTATATTTGTCCGTTTTTTATCGTATGATAAATTTTTCAAGTGTGTTAATTAATTGCAGAAATATTCTTGAGTTTGTCTATCCTAGTCAATCAACAGATTTGAAAAATTTGGTGTACGACAAAAACGATCTCAAAATTTCATGAAATAAAATCTTACTCGAAGATACTAAAAATTAAACCAATCGTAAAAAAGAGTGAAAATATTACCAATCTTGTTCAAAAGTGACAAATTTTCACTATGTTTTTTCAAGAAACTGACTCAATTTTTAATCTTTTCGAGTAAGATTTCACTCCAGAGGTTTAGAGAGGGACAAAAGTAATATTAGCTTAACACGTTTGACAATCTGAATGGCATAATCTTCTATAAAAGTCTCTACGACAAATGGCACACGAAGAATTTTTGGAAGTTTACTGTCAAGCCTTGAACACATCAACAAGGAATAATCATGCATTGATAATCATTCACCAAGATAAATTCCATCGCTATAATTTGAAGAGGTATTTATTGCGTTTGTGAACGTTCCAAGAACTCACTTTCCGTCCTGCGAAAGAAGCCTTCTTGCCGTTCTCTTACGTACAGGATACCCTCTTTCTCGAATTTTTGCGAAGGCTGCGTAGCCAGAGTTAATAGCTCCTGCTTATTGAATCTCATCTTGTCGGCAGGCAATCAAGCCGACATATTTACAATTTTCGCTGCTTACTTGTCTCTTATATACTGGAAGCGGAAAGTCTTTAAATCATCATGCATCCTTGAAATTTCATGCAACGCTACTATTATACACTTTTGAGAGCTAACATTCTTTTCCTTAATTAATTCTTTAATAATTTAATTTTAATTTTAAATTTAATTTACAAATATGCAAGTATAACAAGAATTAATGCCTTATATTTGGTATGTACATTTACATTGCCCATTCATAGTTTATAACAGTACGCTGAAAAAAATTTCTTGGTTGTACCAACAAGAGGCATGAAAAAATGCATCCTGAAATCATACTAATCAAAATTCTAGTTATTTATCATAATTAAATTTCAGATTATTTTGATTAGATTGCTTGATAAATTTAACTATCAATAATTTGGACATTGTTAAACTTATAATGCCAAATTACATACTCAATTTTAGTTATTTGTAATAATTTCTATAGATTTACAGAATTTAATCAATATATATATCATTAATTTAACTAAACAAATAGAAAAAGACAATTTAATTCAAAAAAATTTTTTAATTTGACTCAAATTTAATTTATTATTTAAAGGCATATGTCAATATAAATTTCAAAACTAATCACAGAAATAGTTAGATTAATTTATATTTTGATCAATGCAATTAGATTTCTCGATATAAGAAACATAACTGTCAACAATGTATCATAAACTTCAACATATTAAAATATATCTTTGGTCTGATTGTACCATAAGAATATTTTAACCTTATAAAACACATTTTTTAAACATTATATAAATATTAAATGATGTTCACATAATTCTAGGAATAAACATCCTAATTTCAATTCAATTAATAAATAAAATATATTTTTACTTTTGAATCCTTGGTACATACAATTGGGCCATTCGTGTCCTGTATTTCTTTCTTTTGAAATACCAGAAGCACCCTGACTAAACAATGGTCTTTTTTTTTGTAAATACACAACTTTATAAATACTTCCTAAAGATGTTAAAGTAAATTATGTATGTAAGAATCACACTTAATATAATTTTGGTATATTTGTAATAAAATGATGAAAATCAACAGGGACACGAATGACCTGTCATGTAAAGAACCAAAAATCATCGTGTGTAAATACTAAAGATTAACCAGGAGACAATCGTCGCAAGTTTATTTATGCAAAAATAAAGGCTAGAGAGAGGAGCGAGAAAAACGTACCATTTTTACAGATGGATCGCTGCTCGAGGTTCCTCTCGCTGCATTGCGGCACGATCTAAAAGATCAAAACACGGCTAAAAAAAACGAGAGATAATCGGCAGCGCGACATCGAACAATTTCTACATTCGCTCACTCACGCCGACGCTCGTCGAATGCTGAATTCAGTAGCAACGGGAATCCAGGGTATCCAGGCTCGCCCGTTCTCGCGAGGAAACTCGCAGTCGCGCATCGGGGAACCCGTGTCAAAAACTAGCCGCGTCCCACACCGCCGTTCCCCGCGGGCAGCTCATTCCCGTCGCATTATCGGTGCAAATCAACCTTAAGCCGACGGGACGCACGTGCGACATGGAGAACGAATCGGTCGGGATCGTACGGACGTTCGATTCGCGCGGCAACGTTAACGCATCGTGAACGAGACGTTAAGGTGTGAAAGACAAACATGTAACGGTCGGCGATGTGACAAAGTAACGGGCATCGTGGCGACACTGACAGCAACTGAGAGGTTTGCAATCAGAGCAAATCAGAGACGATAAGAATCGTGCACACCGGAGTGGACCGGAGTTCACCGGAGTGCGACGTACGATGTGCAATCTGTGCAACTGGGTGCTGCTGCTGGATGGTTCGTTTCGTTTCGTTTCCTTTGCTTTGCTGCTGTTCGAAAAATTCGGACACGATGGCGTCATCTATCAGCCGATCATGGGTCCTTGATCGATAAGTCAAATATCGATAGATGATAATGGTTCTGTTCCGCGTTGCTTGCAACTTTTTTAAATGTCAGGGTGCACTTCATTTGGCACTCACAATGTTCGCCAAAATTATTTGTCCTTGTTTAACTTTTAAATGATTACCATGAGCAAGTTTATTAGAATATTCATAATTTAATTGATCAACGCCTAATGAATTCATTTTTTACTTTATCTCAAGATGTACAATCGATTCTCTAATAATTTTTTTTTAAAGAACAAATCTAGAGGTACAATTGCACCTTAAAAGTGCGATTCCATCTTGAAAGTACAATTGCACCTAACCTAGAGCCTAATAAATAACAGAATGTATTATTGAGCATTTCGTTCGCGTCAAGCACGAGTACGAGTGAACTGGAGTTGACTGGAGTGAACATACGTCTGTCGCGACATGTCTGTCAAACTCTTGCGCTGTCTCGCCAGCGATTTTATTCCGAAAGGCCAGCATGTCCGTCGCGCCCATCGGATGCGGGGAAAACCGCCGATGATCGCCCGTACCTTGCAACAACGTCTCGAGGAAATGAATCGAGAGGACCCGACTTTGAATTTCAAGGTGAATATTGGTTATGCAGTGACCAAAGCCAACAGGCGCTCAATAACGAGCGGTTGGATAAACGATATCGTAGTACATAGGAACGACACCGAGCTCGAAAAATCATCGCGTACCAGGAAGCTGTTGGTGGATCTAAAGACAGTAAAGGAAGATTGGCTACGAATCGATGGGCCTTCTCATATTCACAGACTAGCGAAGCACTTCGGCGTTTATAACGACCTGTACGGAGACGCTTACTTTATGCCAGTAGTCCCGCTGAATATAAGCTACGAACTGAAGGATGACAAGCTGGTAAAGGTTTACACCGGTAATGTGATCAAGCCAAGCGAAGCTTCTAAAGCACCTGATGTAACGTATGATGCAAAGGACGGGACACTATGGAGCCTAATAATGTGTACGCCGGACGGCAATTTGACCAGCGTGGAAAACGAGTATTGTCACTGGTTCATCGGTAATATTCCTGGGAATCGTGTGAGGGAAGGAGAGGAATTGGTGGATTATCTACAACCGATAGCACCATACGGTATCGGATACTGCAGATACATCTTCGTGCTTTACAAGCAGAAGCATAGCATAGATTTCTCGGAATACAAGAGAGCTAAGCCCTGCTTGAATCTGAAAGAGCGTAACTGGAGAACGCTGGATTTTTATAGGAAATATCAGGACGAGTTGACACCTGCTGGTTTGGCGTTCTTCCAGTCAGATTGGGATTCCTCGTTACAGGAATTTTATTACGATACACTGAAAATGACAATACCAAAATTCCAATACGATTTCCCTGAACCGTACATAAAGAAGCAAATCTGGTTCCCTTTGAAGGAACCCTTCAATATTTATTTAGACAAATATCGCGATCCCAAACAGATAAGAAAGGAATTTTTATTGAGAAAGTTGAAGAAGGTTCACCCCTTCAATGGGCCAGAACCACCAAGAAGATTCCCGTTGGCTCATTCTGACGAAAAATACATACCTTCTTGGCTGAAATTTGAGATAATAAAGAAGAGGCTGGGATACGGTCATGTTAACGAACTCGATGAATACTAAATTTATACTAATTAATAATGTAAAATATTGTACAATAAATAAAAGTTGTTTTCAAATATTGCATTTTATTATGCTGAGATTTGACACAATAAACTCTATTCCGGTTTCAGGTGTGCCTCTAGAATCTGCCTGCTGTGATACTTGATGTCTGCTCTCGTCGGAATAGTAACGTCGATCATCTCATGTTCAACCAATAGTCCTGTAAATTCGTATGGAGATATTTTGTAAGTCGATAAAATTACCAAAGAGAGTTGTACAGTTTATAGAAAAAATAATTTACCAATTGGTTCTTCTTCACCAGTTCCGAATATCAAATCGGAATTATAATTCGATACATAGGTGTGGTAGAGATTTCGGGCTTCCTCTTCCTTCTCTTCGAGCTCGAAATTGCTAATATTGAAGAGAATGCTTATTTTTCGGCTGATCCTCGATAGCAACACTAAAACTTTGAAAGCGATACATCACGATTTAATAAATTGTTATTTCTGACCTACTTCTTAACATTTTAAGGAATAGAGAAAGATTTAAACTTATATTTAATTAATTATAATATTTTACCATCTGTGTCCATTCGTTCGAGTTCTGCTAACGTGTCGCGTTCTTCTATATCTTCTTTATCATTGATTATAAGTTCTTTCTTATTCCCGTTTTTAACTGGTTTCTTTACTACTCCTTTGATACCGTGTTTGACACAAAGCAACATTGTGTTCATATTCTGTAAGGTTGCTCTGATATTCGTGAGCAATTCGCTATGAGCTGTTATCTGCTCCTTAAGATCCTTTTCGCGTTTCTTCTCGATTTCAATTTGTTCCAATATATCTTGCGTACCGTTTATCTTATACCTGAGAAATGTAATATTTACAAATTATCAATTTGTTAATGAGGGAAAAAACTGCCTATTGATAAAAGATTAATAATTATATTGTTATATAATTCCTTTTTTGATGTATTTATTATGCTCATCTTGTAGCAATTATTTACTGTTCTTTTGTGGAATACTTGAGACCCTCGAGAACTTGTAATGCCTGATGTTTTTTATTTAATAAAACTTCGCGATTCTTTATATTGATGTCTAATCGCGCTAGTAAAGCTATTCTGTGCTCAGACTGATTTTCAAGCCTGATTGTAGGAAGAAAACATTGTATATAGCAATTGTAGATATTATAAAATATGTACAAAACCCAAAATAGAATACCTTGATAGCAAATCATGATATGAACGCACGAGTAGAACTTCTTTCACTTCAGTGCAGATATTTTCCAAATGTATTAATTGATTTTCTAATGTTTTGTTAAATATATCGGTATCTTTTTTCATAAAAACGTGGTCGCTCTATAAATTATAAATAAGAAAATACTTTAGTAAACCTCTTTATTATACAAATCTTCATTATGAAGTATATATTTATAAAAATTTATCTAGATACTCTATAAACAGTATATGTCATGTCGTATAAAGTCTTTAATTAACATATAATTTCTTTGCTAAAATATTTTATTGCAGATATCTTCATAAATATCTTCTACAATTTTTACCACAAAGAGAGAGCTATAAAATTCTTATTTGTAATTGTTTACCTCAACACGCACTAATGACTGTGCGTAAGCCCACAAATCCTTCACCTGACTATTTACAGTACTCAACATTTGTTCTCTAATTTTCATATTACGCCAGACGATTCGAGACATTCGTTTATATTTTTGTCTGATGTCGTCCAGATTCTCCGCTGCCAGTTGACCCATTACTGTCACTTTCAACATCACTTTGCATTGGGAAGATTGGTCTTCTTTTAAAATATTCATTAGGATATCGAAAAATATCGCGTCCTACAAAGATTTCATAAGAATAAAAATGATGCAATTGTACAATAAAAGATCTTTGAAGTAGATTCTTTATGTTTTTGAGCTAAAAATGTCTTTGAAATTTAATAATGCGACAATTTAAGATTTACTTTTTTCAGAATATTTAGCATTGACCAGTATGTAGAGCATATGTCTTTTGCTGCGTTATATTTTGCGATGGATCGCTGTAATTGTGCTACTAATCGTTGCTGCTCGCAGTTCGGTCGATATTCGCTTTGCTCCTCGAGTTCAATTGAAAGATCATGATGTTCCAGCTTGTCATTCAGCGAAGGAGCAAATCTTTATGGCTCAAAGTTAGGGCAAAACGAGTATACGAATCTCAATATTACATATTGAGTATATACATAAGAAACGTCGTAATATTGCAATATATTAAATATTAATACATGCTTTAATAGACTCAATCTTATATATAAGATTAATAACTGTACAGGATAGGCAATAACTTTGGCCACCTAGAATATTTCCGCTATTTTTAGAAACATTTTAATTACGTAAGTTGTATAGTATGATTCTTTTGTATATATATATATATGATATGATATGATAGTAATAACTTTTCTATGAGTGTGAAGGCACCTTGGTGATTTTAAAGTTATGTCCATTTTTTAAATAGAATTATGTATCTTTTATATAATGTGATTTTTCTAGTTATTCTGTATGTAAAAGTATTAAGAATTATTTAAAAAATCAACATTATACAAGATATTTATTTATACTTTATTTTTGCATATTTTGATATAAAATATAAAACGTCTTGTAAAATAGTAATTTTTTGATAACTGTACTTTTATGTAATGAATAATGAAATGAATCAATTATTCCTCCAATCGTAAAAAAAAATAATTAGCATTATATTATGATACTCTCTTATAATAATACTAAGTATATATAACTTTTATCTCCGAAAATAGAAAAAGATATTTTAGATGGGTCAAAATTATTGCTCTACTCTCTTACTATGTATATATTAAGTTATATATAAGTACTTTGCTCATTATTATTTTAACTGCATAAGTATTTAATATTTATTATAATGCATAAGAATTAGGATTCTACCTGTAATTCGATACCTCGCTTCAATCTTTTCTTTTTCTCATAGTAGAGTTTATCTAATAGTCGTCGTTTCAAATTGCAATCTTGATATATTGCAACATAAATTTCCTGTGACGTAAGATTTTCATATTATAGTGCATATCAGAACCATCCGCAAAAAAAACAAATAGTTTTTTAAAATTTTAAAGCCAATGCTGCTATATTCTTACGAATGGTTTTAGGTGTTTAACTGCCAAGTAAAATCTTCTATGATCGGTTAGTAATCTGAGAATATGTGGTTTACCGTCATCACAAAGATGACTGACAATTTCACGATGTCTCTTTACATCAACGTCTAGGGACGTGACCTTCCTGGACACTATTGATTTCAATTTCGTTGCTTGTGACAGCTGTAGCTTCTTATCACGTGCTGGGTATATGAAAACGATTGTACATATAATTATTTAGGATCAATGAATTTTTCATTAGACTATTTTAAAACAAGCATTATTTCAGAGATGTAGAAAGCGGTTCTCTTGCATAATGTTCTATGTTATCTGTATCTAAAAAAATACTATTCCATCTATTGACATTAAAATATTAATATAAGATAAATAAATTTCATCTATAAAAATAATTCTCTAATATTATATCATATAATTTAATATTATTGAATTTGACTCTTAATTGTTCCTTTTATTATTGTTTAATTATTTTTACATAAAGAGTTCTTTATCTTTCAATTTTATTTGTTAATATTATTAATGAAAAAATTCTTATAATAGTTTATATTTTTCTATAATTTTTTATATTTTAACATTATAAAGATTTTTGAAAAAATAATATAAAGTATTATGGTCAATAAGAATAAAATTCAATAATTTAGAAGGGTTACGAGCCAGAACATTTTTAAAAAATATCTTTTGAACTTTTTCAAATTTTATAAAATTTTTTAGAAATTATAGAATGAGATTAGTATTTTAAATTCACATATTGTATACATATATACTCACATATTCATAATCCATCAGAGAAAAAACGACATAGTAGAAAAATAGAAAAAATTAAGAAATTAAAAAATCTTTTTTATTTTTCTATTTTTTAAGGAACTGTTTTTTCTTTGCTTTCAAAATCAGTGAGAAACAGTTTCAACAGTTCTTTCATACGTGTATACATATATAAAAAATTCTAGAAAATATGTACATATTCTTAATATATTTCTGAAAAGTATTCCAATTTGTATAAAAAAATCAGAGAAATTTTCTAAAAGCTTATAAAATTATACAGGATTTTTAAACAATTTTGAAATTTATATAGAAATTCAGAAAAATTGTACTTATAAAAAATTCTAAGAAAAATTTTTGTCATGAATATATTCTATTTTAATAGTAAAATATGATTAGGATATATCAAGATATATCCTAAGATAATTCTTCCTTTATTTAATTTTGTTAGAAATAGACCAAATATATATCTATTCAAATTTTAAACAATGTTTAACCATGCAGTTTTAGAATTCCACGATATCGACTTATTTTGTCCCTGATAAGCCATGTTTCCACACGTATCTCTTTAGGAGCTTTTGCACGACCCATTTTTATGATATTTTTTGGTCTTCGATGGATTGCAGCATCGAATATTGAACATCACGTCACAGGCAAGCGAGAAAATTGTCATTATCTAATTAATTGTGCTCCATTCTAATTATCCAATTATTATAGTAACCATGGTAACATATAACTATCTTCGCGCATATAACTATGCCCTTTGTACATATACATATACATGCAGGCTGTATATTCCAAAATATTGATTGCCTATGCTGAAAATAAACTGTAGCATTTTCAGTGCAGGCAGTAAATTCGGAACACGGCCACAATAAATAATTTAAAGATGCTGTTTTATTTGAAGTTTACAGGCAACCTAAATAATAAAATATAATTGTATTAGTTAAAACTATTTTATTTTTCTACTTATATTTCAGACTAATATATAAATATTATATAATCAGTTTATTAAATGCTATACAAATTATAGCACTTATAGATATTGATGAATATAGTTAATTATTCCATTTATATATATATACATATATATTTTTAT